AATTGACTCAACGGCAATGGGTTTGGTTTTGGTTTTTGGTAGTGGAGTGTAATTAGGAGGACAGGGTCATTCTTCTAGTTCCATAACTAGGGTAACCAACTGTCTCAGTTTGTCTCGGATGGTCACGATTTTAGCATCCTGCATCCCAGGAAGGCCCTTAGTCCGAGGCAAACAAGGCAGGTTGGTCATACTATCCAGCTTTATGAACCTAACCAAAAAGCATTTTACTTCTCTGAGCAAAATTCCCTGGCTTTTATTTAGGACTTCATATATAATAGACACTGGGGATATAATATAGGTTAAGATATATATTAGCATTAGTTTTCTCATCTATAAAGAGGCTACACAAGATACCTTTTTATGCTAATATTCCAGGTTTATATAAACATAATCCACATCATTTCAGCTAAAAATGATTAGATACTGAAATTTTTGGAATAATTATGTAGGATTTTTTCTTAGGTTTTTTCTAGAACTTCTCCTGGATTACATTATTTCCAAATTTTATTGCTATAAGACAGCTGTTATTTTTTTCTTATAAATAAAATTTTCTGATAAGTACGTCTATATATCTGCTCTGACACAGATTATTTTATTTGGCCCTGAAAACAGCTCTATGAAAATAAACAGGAGTCAGTATATATCCTCTTTTATAGATAAAGAAACTGAGGTTCAGAGAGGTTGAGTGACTCAGCCATAAAAACGTGGCTAATAATTGGAACAGTGGGAGCTAAAATGAAGGTTCTGAGCCCCGTGTTCTCCTTTCTTATAAGATTATGACTTCTTCCCTTCATACACCCAATCCCACCTATCCTTCAAGATCCTGTTTCAATTTACCAGCACCACTCCCCTCCACCCACCAAAGAGCCTTCCCCCTCTGAACCCTTGCACATCTCAATAGCCATTAATTTGGGCATTCACTGACAATGTATCCTGTGATTTTATTTAAATATTCTGTATGTATATTTGCTGGCTACCCAACTCTTATGACAAACTTTTTGAGGTCTTTGTGTGTGCTTTTAGGTATCTATGTATCTCCCTAGTGTACTAACCATCTCTTTGGTTCTGTTTTTGTTTGTTTCTGCCTAGTATTCTTTCACCTACCCCTAAACTTTGTTATCTCTATCTTTGATAACAGCATTCTTAAGGTCAAGACGAATCCCTCATCATATGTAGTTTTGGTAACACTGTCAATCAAGGTTCTTTGCCTTCCCTTGGACAAGGGATGTTCTAGTAATCCACACTAGGCCAATCAGTTTCTCCTTCTAATTAGAATTTGAATTAAACACAGAGAAAGGAGGGGGACAATAGTTGGAGCTGATTTATCCCAAAGGCAACATCCTGTAAAGACTCTCAATTAGTTCCTGTTACCTCATTTCTCAGAACTGCCATAGTTGCTGTCCTTTTAAAGGCCAAGTTGTTCAGCTTTTCCTCAGTTTCTGGCTGAGTCACCTCAAATCCTTACAGTAAATTCCTTTTTCACTTAAGTCAGGCAAAGTCAGTTTCTGTTGCTTACAAACAAAGATCCTTATCTGATACACCCACAAAGTTTAGTGCATAGGAAGTGCTCAGTATTTTTTAAATGTTCTGCTCTTATGAAAATTATATGTTATTACATAGTGAAAACAAAAATGATAAATGAGTAGCAGTGCTATTGGCTCAAATTTTAATAACCTACAGTTCAGCACACCGGTTTGGTGATTCACAAGGTAATAATTCACCGCTGTAAATGAAGAAAGCACTTTGTGGTGAGGGTAGTACTTACAGTAATGATACCCTTTAGTGTTGCTTGACATTTTGGTTAACCCATCTGTTTTCCTTTTCTTCCCAAATATCACAGCAGCCAATCGTGATCATCTGAATTTTTTATACAGTAAGTTCCCTGATTATAAACGTCTTACTTATATACAATTCCCACTTGCCCTTTAATGTTATTTAAATTTGCCCTCGATTTGAAATGATTGAACCAACCTCGAGCTTTTTATTGCACTAAAGTAAGGCTAAGTAAGAACCATTGTACCTGTTCTGATTTACCTACAATTTGATTTAAAGATACACTCAGGAAAGAATCTCGTTCAAGTAACCCAGGGACTGCATGTATTACCTTCCTACAAGACAGACATCTGACAACTTTAACTGCTTATACCATGTCTCCCTTTTAACTAACTGAATATTTTAACATACTCTATCGCTTCTTGTGAAAAGCCATGAATTACAGCTTAAATTCACTTAGAAAGGAAATTATCATTAGAATTTTGATGGGTAAAGGATATCATTTTAAAGCATAATCAGAGCTTTATAAGGGAAGTTTCCTCTACTTTTTTTTTTTTGTTTTAAGAAATCAATAAGAAAAACCAACCAAGTAATCTCTGATAATATAACTGGAATTTGACAGCCACTCTAGCTAATCACACATCGGAAGTTAGTTAATTCAGTTTTGAACAGATTACAGACCTAAGCTATTTCTACGTACTTCAGTAAATTTCTGTCATTTTAGACATTTACATCTACTCAGAATCCTTTATACTCCAGGAACATCCTTGTAATTCTAGACATCATGGAACTCTCATGCATGTATATCATATTTCTCTTCCCTAATGACAAGTAGTTCCCTAGAGGTATTTCTAAGGAGACAAAAATCTTACTGAAAAATGGGGTGGGGCGGGGGGAAGAGGAGACATTTAAAAACCTTCACTTTTTTCTCTTTTAGAACACCCATTACTACATGATAGTATTTCCCACAAGATTATTTTTTATTTTATTTGAAGTTGGCAAAAGTTTTTGTGCTGAATCCTTTGAGCATACCTCTAGCGATAGATGTCAGATCAGCGTTGTATGGAAGAACTTTTATTTGACGGGTAGATGACAGGGAGAAGGTTTTCTCCAAAATATAAGATGTAAATGAAAAATCCTTCTGTGAGATTAATATAATCTTTTGTTCCTGTGTATAAATTACTTACTCATTTTTGCTTTAAAGAAGTCAGTTCATGTAAATAATCTGAATAGCATGAAATTAAGAAACAAAAGTAAAGATATATTTTTGTTCAAATTAGTATAGTTTGCTTAAAACATCTTTTTAAATATGAACTAAATGTGAAATAGGCATACAATACAAATTTCTAATTGTATTTTTTTAATTAATAATACTTTAATAATCTTCAACCAAGGACACTCACTGTGCATATATCATGTGCTCTAAACAAGTAGCATCTTGTTAAGAGATCACTTTATCTGCATTGGATATTTTACGTGGTATATGATACAAAGAAAATGTCCTAAATATTTAGTTTTATCCTACAAATCTTGCTATGATTTATTCCAATTTATTACAAGTATTGCCTTATTCTCTCAGGCCTTAGCAAATAATTCCACATGTGCCCTGATATAATAAGAAAAGGGAGTAAAAATGTTTTTTTGACCAAATCTAGCATCCCTAGTTTCCTTTGTTCTCTTGCCTTATGCTCCTCAAAAGTAAATCAGAAGTAAACACACACTCACAATTCCATTATACATTCTATTATCTATAAAGGACATTTTCTGTGTCTATGTGGGTTAGAATTACCAGGAGCAAATCATTTCTGATACATATGAAAATGATACCTCATGTATATGCAATGAACATTTATTTAATGCATGAATAGAAAAGAAATTCATATCCATTCCTAGATTTGGAATTCTTGTAATAATACACTTCAAGAACTAACCAAAGTTCTACAATGTTTTCAGATGTGAAAGAAGAAGAAACAAAGAAAGATTGGTGAGATGTCAAAGACAGATTGCTTGTTTTCAGATTTATTTTCACACTCAGCTTGTCTTACAATCCCTTACCTCAGAGTCTGTTCAGTTTTCTTTCTGCAACAGAGATATCTTTTCCTTGAATAAGGTGGTTTGCTCTAGCCCAGAAATGGAAATATCTGATCATTTTTGGGCTCCTCTGTTTTGTTACTTTCCACAAGAATTTAAGTCTCAAAAATAATACTATGAAACAGCCCAACCAAAACAATAAGAAGATATTTAGTGTTAGCATTTTTTTAACCTTTTAGTAAACACACTAGATACCTAGTATAAACTTTGTGATGCGACAATATTCAACAATCCAGAGTAGTATTTTCATAAAGGAGAATAAGCAAAACATACTAAAAAAAGACATTTCTGCCCATTTACTTCATTGAGTTTAGTTCCTCATACTTGTTGGAGATGTAAAATAAATATAAAAACTGCATCTGTTTTATAGAGGCATTTTTTCCCCCTCTACATAGTCCGATAAGATTTAATCAGCAGAAGTTTAGTACTGACAGTGTTGAATTTTACCCAAGCCCTATGATCCTGGAAACTGCCTTACTCTTCTGTGTTCTGGAAAATGGCTGACCAAGATGACATTAACATTCCCCTCAGTTTGATTAAACTTTAAACAGGCTTCTTCCTGACTCTACGTTCCTGACTTCCCTCTCTCCCTGGCCCTTACAAAATCGAGATGGAATATGTTTCATCTACCCTTAACAGTGATTTCAGTTTAACTCCATGTGATCAATATGCCTCATTGCTTAGCTTCCCTCAAACGTCCTTCAGTGCTCCAGTGCTCCAGTATTTTTCCACCAACACACTTGAGACTTTAAAACCCTTTCCAACCTCTGTTTCAGAAGAGTAGTAGGAACTCAGTTCTTTACTACCTCCCACTGCAGTGTTCCTTCTTTCCACTTCCTTTCCCTGTTTTCCAATAATCCTTTTAATAGTCATCTTTGCCTGTTTTAACATTGTCCAGTATACTTTTTTCTTTGACAGTACTATACTACCAAAGAATCTGCATAGTCTCTTGGATTTTAATAAGATTTTTTAAAACTTATTTGTTTCTTTCAACTGACATAATCCACATACCATAAAATTGACCATTTAAAGTATACAATTCAGTGGTTTAAGTACTATTACTACTCAGAGTATCCGCTCTCTTAGAAAAGAGGAAGATTATTGTTGTAAATTAGCATTATGAAATGTCATCTTACCTTACAAAGGAAGTTGATCTTAAACCCCAACGACTGGGCATTTCTTGAGCCTGAGTTCATGTAGTTTCCAACCAAAAGAATTAACTCTAAAAGTTTGTTAAAGCTTTCACTTTTCTTTAGTTCTTCACAGGCAAGAGTTACTGCTATGATGCTTGGTTTGATGTTGTTTACGTGCTCTTCAAACGTGAGCTTGAAAAGAATGCTATTGAGACGAGGTCGTAACATTTTCACTGAGCTCATCTGTAAGACAAGGAATGCTCGATAAGAACACACATGTAAAATCTCTTACTTTATCCCTTTATTGGAGATAATTTCATAGACAACACTGTAAAATTACCACACAAAATTAAATTCTCTCTGGGTTTTAAAAAATGTTATTTTTCCTTATTTTAGACATTCAAATGGAATAGTTTATCAAAGTTTAAAAACACAGCTAGCTGTTCAGTTTTAAACACATAAGGCATCCTTAGAGCATGAATAAAATATTACTGAAGCTAAATAGTTGCTATATATTAACTGCACAGTCATGAGCCATCTATAGCATTCAAATTGCTAAGATCTTTCCCTGAGGTTAACTAGGAAAATATATATATTTGAAACTGAGCGAATATTAGGGCCACAGATAAAAGATGTATATGATGACAGAAAATATAAGTGGAACCACATTTCCTAAGAAATTACCTATTACTATGCTGTTTGCAATAAGTGAACTAGCTTTGATTGAGCATTTAATAATTTTTAAACCTATGAATTTGTATTAAATATTTTTATACAATCTAAAGAATTTCACCTACTTGACAGAATGCTGATATTAAATAATTAGGTTATGGTGAAATCACAATAACTCACTTTCAAGTACATTATTCAAGAATTCTATATTGATGTTGTTCAAAAAAGTTCAACTTGGTTTTAATTACTTGTTTCATAATATTGGTGCACATTGTATTTTCCCTTTCGGTATTATTATGTAAGTCTGTCTATTGGTTCTTCAGTATTCACGTGACAAGTAAAAGGCACAACACCTAATCACCAAAAGCTTACAATCTAGCTCATCAGATGAGGCTTCTGGGTGGCGAAAGTGCTACTAGCTAGGGCTCAGCACCCAGGCACGCACCCTTGCATCCTTCTCAGTGAGGTCCCCTGTGGCCAGGCCCAGCGAGGATGGGCTGTCACTACTGCAGTTGGGACTGTTTCCCACTCTGTGCTCCTGTGCCTGAGGGTCCCATCTAGCCACAAGCCCCTCCCAGGAGTGTTCCCGGACATTAAGATGAAACAGGCACAACCCTCGCCAACCATAAGTCTTCACCAGAGTAGAAGAAATTTATAGAGTTTGCCTTTGGGGCTCCCATCAGCTGAGGCTGTGAGCTACAGAACTACAGGATCCAAGGAGTGTCCCAGGCTACCCAAGTTTTCCTAAAGCCTAGATGGAAGCCATTAGCAACACAGACTCTTTGCTTCACCACAGACTCTTGTACATGTGCACATCTGCTGCAGAAATGGAAGTCTTAGTAACTATAGGACAAGGATTGCAAATTAAAAAATATATATGTGTATATAGTCAGAGTAAAAATTACTTATTCCGACAACGCTGTGCCTTCAAGTCTGTGATGGCACTGACATCAAATTATATCAGTCAGCCTAGGTTTATTTCACTGAAAATATACTTAATCCCAGACAAGCAGTATGTAAAAATATTATTTGTTAATGAATTTTATAAAAATAAATTTAACTGTCATCTTAAAAGAAAATATTTAGCCTAAACCGTAATTCAGATACTTGAAAACAGATACAGTTTAATGAAGTGTAAATTTACATGATTTGTAACAAAAAAAAAAGAAAAAAAAGAAAGAAAAGCTTAAATGTAGATTAAAACTCAGCATAGACACTTGAAAACTATAGCTAATGATAAAACCAGGATATATGATTCTAGATAAGTAAACAGAAATTAGGAGCTAGAGATATTCACTGGAAGAAGAGAAAGCTTTAAAGTCTTATGACTATCATGTTTAATAAAAGCTTCAGAGCAGAGGAGATAAAATGGAATATATTTTTTAATGTGATTTTACCATACGTAGTTAATTAACAATATATATGAACACACACACTTACAGAACCAAGGCCAAAAGGAAGGTGCAGAGAGAGACAACGGTGTAAAAAAAAAGCTTACAAGTTAACAATATCCAAGGTATATTTCTAGGGACAGAATTTGGACCAAAGCATCTGAAGAGTTCATGTAAAGGCCATAAAATTGGAAGCTAATCACATCGAAGTGTTATATCACAACAAAGTGATGAATGTACAGGTCTCCTTTGTATGTGTTTACATGAGAATCTGAATTTCTATATGTATTTTTCTGCCTTCATATCTGCCTCCACCACTGTCTCCAAATCCTTCCCCACTTGATTTTTTCATCCCTTTCCCTCACAACTGGCCATCATTAACACAGAAACAAATTTTCTAGCATTTTATACACTTAGGGAGTAGTTTTACAGTCTCCATGGTTAATGAAAAGCCACAGAGTCACTTTTACAAGCTGCTGTTCACCATGTACCTGAACATGTGGCCATGCTTTATAGGTAATGTAGGTGACTGAGTCACTAGGGTGACCTTGGTCTAGACAGACAAGAAATTTAAAACTTACGCTTACATATGCCTTTGGTCTTGCTTTACTTCTAAGACCACGTACATCTTTCTAATTTTGATCCTTTCTGGATTTCATAAAACCCAGAAAGCATGGGTTTGATTTATTTATTTTTTTGATCCCAGCTTCAACAGAAATAGTGTGACCAAAGTGTACTTTAACAGTGTTAGTAGGAACAATATTAACAGCAATTAAGACTTATTGAGTACTCTGTGCCAAGTATTTTTCTAGAAGCTATACATGTATTAACTCATTTGATTCTCAAAACAATCCTAGGGGATAGAATTATTATTCTCATTCTAAAGATGAGGAAGGTGAGGCACAGAAATACAAAGTAACTTACACAAAGTCACACTGTATTTTGAAGACCTGGGGATTTGAACTCAGGCATTTGGGCTACAGATCCCAAACTCTCTAGCAATAAGCCATACAACCTCTCAAGGCTTCTTGGAAGCAGTAATTATGATTACTTGAAAATGGAGAGATTAGTGGCAAGGAAACCATCAGTAAGTTATCAAAAACAGGTAATGAGCTAGGATGTCGACAGTAGGAAAAGAAAGGAAGAGACGGATACAAGAAACAGTATTAAGGAAGAAATGATATGTGTCTAGTTCTGGACTCAGAACAACAAATATTAGTCTCTGTCATCCCTCAAGACCTTTTTCCTCAGTTCCGCACTGCAGGAGTGCCAGAAGCAGTATGCACAATAGTTAAAGACAAGACTCTGGAGGTGGCCTTGGTTCAAATTCTGGCTCTATCTCTGTCATGCTGTGGGACATTAACCCTTCCAAGCTTCAGTTTACTTATCTGTAAAATGACAAATGAGAGCAGCCAAGTGGCGGGATTTTTTGAGGATTAAATTAGCTAGTCTATGTAAAGTGCTTGCCACACAGTAAGTGGAAGGAACAACAGGATGTAGCAACTGATCAGTTATGAGAGGAAAAAGTCAAACATGGATCTAAGGTTTTAACTCTATTGTGAGGTAGAATGATGTTAACATTAGTAAAGGCAAGAGGAAGTGCTAATTTTTTGTGTTTATTGTTTGGTTCCTTGTTTTGTTTCAGGGAATGAGGGTAGATGAATTTGTTTCCCCCAATCTGCTGCTGCCTACACTTCAGTAAGCCAATCAGGAGCTAAGACGGTACGGGGAGGTAGGGTGCAACTCAACAGCAAATTAAATCAAATATAACTGAATCCATAATCTTCTACTTGCAGAATCTTTCATATAGTCTGACTGTGTGAGATCAGTCTATTTAATATCTCTGGTCTTCAGTGTCCCCATCTATAAAATAGGGGACATTCTCATCTAGTAGTATTGTTTGAATGATTACACTGGAGCAAAATAAGTGATCCATATTTATTCCAGTTCCAGGTAATGTTGAGTTGATCCAACTCTTGGTGACCCCATGTGTGTCAGAGTAGATTTATGCTCCATAGGGTTTTCAATGGCTGATTTTTCAGAAGCAGAAAACTAGGCCTTTCTTCTGAGGCAACTCTGGGTAGCCTAGAACCTCCAGTCTTTTGGTTAGCAGCTGAGTGTATTAACTGTGTGTACCACCCAGAAACTCCCACCATATACCTTACTTCCTTCTTTTTGCCTTTAGACTTCTGGACACATCAAAAACAAACCCATTGTCATCGAGTTGATTTCAACTCATAGTGACCCTATAGGACAGAGCAAAACTGCCCCATATGGTTTCCAAGGAGGAGCTGGTGGATTTAAACGGCCAACCTTTTGGTTAGCAGCTGTAGTTCTTAACCACTGAGTAACCAGGGCTCCTTAGAGTTGTGGAAAGGTGGGACAAACGATGCTAAATCCACACATAAATATTACTTGGCCATTACCAAAAAATTTTGATTAGCATCTAAGTGAATTTGGTTCGCCATTCTCTCAGACACCAAATAGTGCACCCTGCTATTGACAAAGGCACAGTTTTCCTCCCATTATTAAGGCTCCAAATCTTGGAGTGATATTTAACTCTTGGTAACCACGATGTAATTTATCACCAATCCTTGCCAATATTTTAATCTGAAGAATTTCTTGGAATTGTCCCTTATTTTCCATGCTCAACATTCAAGCTCAAATTTTATATACTTTAAGAGTGGATTACTAAAATAGAATCTTTAAATATTCTCCCTGATTCTTCTCTTTCCTCTTCTAAATATTCTCTTAAATATTAGAATGATAGCTCTATGATGGGGAAATGATACTCTCTCCTTAAAATATCAAGTTTTAGTTATTATTGTGATATCTGGATGGATAGAATTGTTGAGCTGGTAGCATTCAGAAATATAGTCCTGGAGTTAGGAAAAGATAAATATTGGAGCTCGCAGATTTGGGAGTTATGTGAATATGCACAGCGCAGGGTTGTGGATATATCAGACATTTAAATATTTCTGATTGATTTTAAAAGCACTACTTAGCTGACTGTTTCCAAGTTCACCTCCCAAGCAGGACAAAGAGATTGTCTATTGAACAAAATTAACAGATTATGGTAATATTTTACTCTCCCCAAAATGATGTCTTCAGTTAAAATGCTAAACCAGATATGCTAGTGAATTAACTTTGTTGAACTGTGATTACTGGAGATTAATCTGT